CTTTCCTCATAATATTTGTTCTTATTAGATTATTATTATGCAATATTTGTTACCTTTTTTACGTGCTATAATATGGCGGTTGTTTCGTGACAGCGCATCTGTTTCCGCAGCGTGTTAGGCTGCACTTTTGTTAGTGTGAATTATATTGCATGGTTCAATATTTTTTACTCTATATTTGTTTTTGCTTTAATTTTCTGTTTAAAATTCATTTAAAAGTAGAATATTCTTAATATTTGCATTTATGAATTTCATTCATTTTTGTTTGCTATTTTATTAAAAACAAAGGACATAAAATTTGAATCTGGAAAAACATCCTCGTAGAAGTCTATTTGCATTCATAACGAATATGCAAATTTTTTTCACCGAAAACATATAAAAAAAATCATGAATATATGATATTTATACGCTGAAGGCTACTGATTAGACAACAGAACGGATGCAGACTTTAATTATTCTATATAGATTCTGAAAAATAATTTTTTAACTTAACTTATCTTCTAGCATTTTGTTAGTATTATCAATTTTGCTAAAACTATGATTATTAATTTTGAACTCAATCAAAATTTATAAGAGCCATGTTATGCAGGCAGTTATGGTCACGTCAAACATGAAATTGTTGTTGTTTTCAATAGAAATTTAAGATTTAATAATGGGAATTAGTGAGAGAAAAATCGATTTCTCACAGTCACGAGGCTTTCTGGGTTTCGTCGCGTCATATTAAATTTTTGTGTTGCTTAATAAGTATTTTAAAACTTGTGCCTTTTAGAAGCAAGAAACATATACACCCATACTCTGCTTAACGACTTAGATAATTTCTGAAAAAGTTTGCCATAAAATGAGAACTCGTATATTGCGCGGCCATATATCGGGTATAGGTATACGCATTTTTATTCTTCTAAGTCTATTTTACCGCCTTTTAAGTACTTTCCTTGGCACTTATGCCAAATCTGCTTTTAGTTTTTATTCCGTAGTCTCCACCGTTTACTGATATCAATCGATTTGATTTCGTGTTTAAGTTCCAAATGTGGCTGATCACACCATGATCACATCCTTGTATAAGTCCTAAAGCGATCTTGTTGTTTTGGGTTATGCTGCACAAGAATTCTTTGATATGATGCAGAAGCACTTTGAGAGTGTTCATTTGGTCTCATTAAGAGACTTTCGGACGAGATTGTCACGTTTATGTTGTCAAAAACCTTTGCGTTTGATACTCTTCGATTGCTTCAATAAAATTTTACCGATGACGAGTGGTTTAATGGTAGTAGTCTTTAATGTACCCGTAGAGAATATTGTGGGCATTGAGGCTGAGGTGGGAATCTGGACTGTACTCCTTTTAGTAGTGCTAACAGCCTTACTATTGGAAGGACGAGTATCTAGTTCCACTTCCTGAGGAGTAGAATAGATGAAATCTTAAGCAAGACCTTTCACGATCTTTGTCAGAATCATAAAATGAATTGCTATAACGAAGGCAGTGGGAAAATACCATAAGGGTTGTTTAAAGGTCTATTTGTAGTAGAGATCCCATAAGTATTTGTTGATGTTTTTTTTTATATATGCTTTTAGACAGAATCTTATTAGATTTGAATCTCAACCATGTGTATCTATAAGTACAGTCTATTTTACTATTAATAAGTAAAATAGAATTATTCAAAATTTCTATCATCACATATTAAGTTTTATTTTTCTACTTGCGCCAATAATTTCCCCAAATAATGTAATTTACTACACTGAGTAGGTGCCATAAAACAGTTGCAAAAATGCAGAAATGAAGTCTGTGGCACTAAAAGTATCTCATAATTACCATTATAAATGTTCGTTATTTATTCGTAAATTTAATTTACCTTTTTATTATGCATTTCGCCACACGTCGTTTACTTGAGTGCTGCACACCCATTAAAGCGGATAAATGCAATTTTATTGATAGCTATTAAAAAGTGCACAAAGACACAATTAACACATTCGCAATGGCTCCCAGTGCATGCGACTGTGTGATGCGCTTTTTATTGTGCACACACAACTTTCCAAACGCACTGGAAAATATGAATTACACCTCTTGCAGGTTTAATCGGTGTTGGCAGTGAAGCAAGTGGCAGAAATAAGTGCAGCAGATAATCCACTTTGTACGCATAGGAAATGTGTAATCGTGCTGAAAGCTGCTTAATACGTAACGTGCCGAAGAAGGCATTGTTCTTCTCAAGTGCACGAATAATTGAATCACTTGCTCGAATCAGAGTAAGTGTGCTACACAACATTACTTTAAAATAATTTAATGGAATTAATAAGAATCTACTCAACAAATACAAACGACGCTTCAAAATGGTTAACATCATTTTTACAATATATATGGATATTATTATTATGTTGAGACTTTTCCGAGTTAGTGCATCTGGGCACTTTTACTCTTTGATAGCTGGGAGGTTTCTGCAGAGTCCCACCCATCTCACTAACTAATTTGTGTATTCCTCATAAGCTTCGTGATTATTCAATGACTCATCTAAGATCTACGTGTTAGTGATTACTCTGAGATTAGATAGTACTAAGTAGGGCAGCTTGTCGGTTTTCGTACATAGCTTCAGGGCTCTGTCCCTTTTATATTTTTTGACCGGATTTATTTAAGGGTCTCTTAGCATGTCATTCTTGCGGATATACCATGGCACTTTGAAGAGTCTTCGGAGAGTCTGACTTTCAGCAACTTGTAACTTCTGGAAAATAGAGTCGGCAACTTTGTTATACGCGACACATCCATAAAGTAGTGCTGGTCTAATATATATATTACTTCATTTCATCAAATGTATTATAGAAATAAATATCATCAGATCATTTTATTTATATCAATATCAACATTTGAAGTATGTGTGCAAAACATTAAATCCTTAACTCGTTAAAGGTACAGCAATAAGCAACATTTTTCATACTAAATTCAAATGTCTTAATATCGTAGATTTTTTACGATATTAGAAGAATTGGTCATGCCGAAAAACGCATCCCATTTCTTTGAATGTTTTCGATCTTCGTTCACTTTTAGAACGGAATTCGTTTGCTTATTGAGCTACATTCGTATGTATAGTTCTAAGTCTTATCTATAGTTATCATGAATTTTATCTTATTTTTATTGACAGAAAGAATTATTTAATAGAGTTTAAAACAACAGTGTCTGTCTAAAAGATTGAGTATCTTTGCCGTCAAGTGAGATTTTAAGGTTTTAAAATATGAAATATTTTTCAAAATAGTTAAGCTTCGTACAAATAAAATGCTGACTATATTTATTTATGATTTGCAGTTACTTTATTTATGACTGTAATTACTTAATACATAATTAAGGACGAAAGGATATATGAAGAAATGTTAGTTATACAACGACTCGTGATAAATTTATGAATGAGGATACCTAGAGTATATTTCAGGAATGTCAACTGATTTTTAACAGAATATCAGGACTTATGCTTACTGCCTTATGACTGCAGTTACTCAGCACATATTTAAATTAAGGACGAAATCTTTATTTTTTGTTGATATAAAAATGAATTTACTCTTACTTCACTAATTACGTCGTGTATTTAATTATAATTAATGTGACATTACGTTTACAGCTGCATTTTAATATAAACATACTGTAAAGCAACTGAAATGACGTTAAAAATACTTAAAATTCGGCAGCATTCAAGTGTTATTTTAACGGATTTTCAGTTTTATTCACGTGAAATGAATGTCAGTTCCTTGCACTCTTGCAGGTCAGTCCATTAAATCGTTAAGGTGCTTAAAAATTGTCCACTTTCGCAGTTACTGCCGATGGCGACCATTGGTAAGTATTTGTCAGTTTTCATTATATTGTTTGGGTTATTTTTCTCTACTTAGGGTTTAAGAGTGTACTTATTAACCGGCAGTGCCCGTTGCATAACATTGTTGTCGAAAGCTAATCGATTTTTGCATTATTTCAATTTTTTTATTTGAGAAAATATGAAAGATCCTTCTTGTCGTAAGCGTTAATTCTGTCTTTTGTTTTTCCAGTTTTCACTATTTGCGGTTCACACTTTTGCAGCATTAAAGGCCACATCGTATATTTGGATTAAGCACATATGCACTCACGACTGCAACTGCAACTGCCGGCATTGAAGTTGAACTTAAAGCTGCAGCAGCGCACATGTTATATGTATTATTGTGCATATGCATAATTTCATGTTGACTGCGTGCAGCATGTGGCCATTGCAGTTATTTCTTAATTATGCAGCAAATCTACGCTATTCACCTGCAATTCACACCATTGCATTGCACTTCGCACGCTGCGTCAGACTCATTTGCCTGCTATCTGTGCAATTGCATGCATGCATATGGCGTTCTGTCCTGCCCGTCCTCGTGTTTACTATTTATTTAATGCCACTGTTTGCTTATGCATGTATAGAGGTGACTTTAATTTATAAATTGGGTAAATATGTTTGTTTAATAATGCGGTAAAACGAAAATGTGTTAATAAAATCAAAATTATGTGCAAGTTAATTCATTAATGATGAGTAGTCAATAATAAGCGTTAATGAAATACAACAACAACATTCGCAATATTGTTGTATCGACTTTGTTACAGCAGGGACCGAATAAATTTATTGACGTAAAGTACAGGACGACGTTACACCAGATACCAGGTTATGGAAGACAAAAATTATAATAAATAAAATTGAATAAAATTTTAAAAGAATCAAATTAAATACTACAAGTTTAATTGTAAATATTGTAGGAAAAATAAAATTCATGAAATACCATATGTAAGTACATTTTGAGGTGCTACTATTACGAATCTTTTATTCAAAATTCCTTATTTATGCCTAGATCATATACAACAAGTATGAGATGGATAATACAACATTTATCACATTATTTTGAACTTAACAGATTCTAATATCCCAGCCCTGTTCCATTCAAATATTAAAAACACACAATTTTTAATCATATTTTAGTTTTAATTTTCTTAACTTAAAGATTTATACACAAATACATTCAAACTTCCATAAATCGAACTTCTATAACTCGAATTTTCTATGACTCAAACCAAAAGCAGTGCTCCAAGGTTTTAGAGAGCAAATTACATACAATTCTACTTCCATAACTCGAACTTCTATAACTCAAATTTCTCTATAACTCTAATAAAAGTATTGTTCCCTGCCGATAGGAAAATGGGAAAGTACATTCTATATGTCGAATTTTTGTTTTTCCAAACCAAATGTTTAATTTTTTCTATTTTATATTGCTTCTTCCTAACGATTATTGGTATTTGCGAGCAGTTCTCTATCGTAGGTGCTGTACTGCCGTCAACCGATTGGAATAGAACCCAAGGGGTTCAAGTTGTTCTTTAAGGATGTGATGCAATGTAGCTCTCACCGCGGTATTGCTCGCCTGAACTGGCATTGACAACAGCTTTTTATAACTGATGAATGCTGATGCAGCTTCTTCTGTCCAACTAATTGGCATTTTGTCATTTTTGCGATTCTCTGTTAGCAGCTTTTGTAGTTTTCCTTGGACAGAAAACTACGAAATTTTTGCATGCTGTTTGATTTTGGACAGTCGAGAATTGGTTTCAATCTTTCTTTTAGAAGACGTGAGCTATTTTATCCAATACACTTGTCGAGAAAGATAATTTTTGACTGAGCAAATACGCATTAAGTGATGCTGAGTTTGAGACCGAATTGATGTAAATGCTGAAACACTGTGCAGATGTGGGGAATGTTTTCGGCTTCGTTATAAGACGCGATGCAGATGTTGTCTAGGTAGCAAACTGTGAAGTCCGCTGAAGACTTGGTCCATGAACCGTTGAAAAGTTTGCGCCGCATTGTACAGCCCGAATGGTATCTTGTTGAATTCGAACAATCCAAGCAGTGTGGTTATAGCTGTTCTCCTGCCCTTCGGCACTATTCGAAATCAAGTGTGGTGAAGATGGATTTTTCGCTCAAATTCTGAGTGAATTATTGAACGTCCAGTATTGGCATCCAAATTCAAAAATCACTCTATTGTGAATGTTCACTGGGAATATGTTGCAAAATTCCAGTTATCTGTTAAGATAGTATAAGCATTTAATTTACTAATATATTTAAATAAATAAATAAATTAATTAATTTAAATATATAAGACAAAAATCGTTACCATTGTCCTTCTAATAATAGGAATTCAATATATTTTAAAGATGATTCCAATTTGTTCCAACCAGAGTTAGTATTATTTTTTTACAACTCTGAAATAAGAAATTACGGTAATTTATAAAATTTATTCCATAGAAGAAATGCAACCTTGACAAATTTTTTGATGACGTTTAGAACAGGAAAGCGAGTTTGATTGTCGGAAGAAGTTTGCGAGAGACGACGAAATTCTAATAAAAGAGTTTGGTTAATAATATATAGTAGTAACAATAGTATGTAATAAAAAATATATTTGAAATATGATGTCAAAATTTATAAAATTTTGTAAAAAAAAGTTAATCGGAAACTACGAGTATTTAATTTTTCAGCCCTGAAACATATCAAAACGATTTCATTTGACAGTTATTTTTTCACATTTCAGTATTACAAAAATTGACAATCGGAAAAATAAAACCTATACCGAAGTAGAGAAACAGACGATTCTTTTTGTCGACAATTAGTATAAAGTAATTACGGGAGGCGTAGTTATATTTACTACTTACAAATATCTGTAACCAAAGTCTTTAACCCACGACTTTCCCTCAGGGCCAGCCACTTCAATTACTTTAATATCTCAAAGAAAGAACGTAGAGGTATGGACAATTTAACTACAAAAAATTTATAAATTAATTAGTTAAAGTAAAGAATAGACAAAAATAGTACACATTAATAATTGTATAATTTAAATATATTTAAAAATATGTTTGCAGGATTGTTATTCATAAAAATTTAGTTAAATTAACCGTCATTTTGTGGGTCAAATTTGGTCAACAAAAGCCATATGCCGTGTATGGACATTGCATTATTTGCTTGTGATATTGCAAGACTACTCTGATTGCAAAACTGTCTGGTACTCTTAATTGTTCATATTTATGAATATGAATATATATCTCTTTCAGTCCAAGCACGTAAAATATTCCAGTATAATTTATTTACACAAATTATCACAGGAAAAAAGAAAACTAATACATGACAATAATGTTCTTTCTTATTCAAAAAGTTTAGTCTGACGGCATGGGTCCAATACTAGATTTGAAAAAGGTGAAACGTAAGAGAAGAGGAGCAGATATTGAAAATGATTCCGAACCTTTGCAAATGGATGTTCTGCACATGTCGCTAGACGACATTATAGCGGCTCGTAAACAAAATAAAACTGGTGGTTTGATTGGTCGGGATGTCCGTGGCGGTCCGGGTAAAAGGTTGGCTCGCTTGAGCAGACACCAGTGGCATTTAAGACAAGTAGTAAGGGTAAGATCTGTATTTTTTTTTTATATTTTCTTATTAAACTTCAATTTTCTGTTATTCTGCTATTTATGTTGGTAATTAAAAAAATTAATGGAAATAAAATAACTATGTAAAATTTTCAGCGTATTAATTCGGATATCGCTATTCCAACTCGTATTGGTATCACCAATCTGTCATACCTAGTGAATGAAAGTGATCTTAAGTCTCTATTTAGCGAGATAGGCCCCATCGACTATGTTACTGTCTACTACAATAGTTATGGTTCATTTCTAGGTAGTAGAAGATTCTGCATAAAAGAATATTTAATGAATGTTTTTTTTTCTATAACAGGTATGGCAGAAGTAATTTACAAGAGCAGACGGGATGCTAATGCTGCGATCAAGCGTTTTAATAATGTGAAGTTGGATAACCGTAAAATACACATTCACCTATTACCAGATAGGCGCCATACCTGTTCGGCGTGTTTTTACAGCAGACAAAAAAATAAACGCCTACAGAATGTGAACGCGAATGTACGCAGGCGGTTTATGAATGCGAATGTACGCAGGTGGAATAAGAATGCGAATATACGCAAACAGAATGGAAACTCAAACGCAAATAGTACTGAATCTAATCAACTACGTAAAGAACTTGATAATGAATTGGATGAATACGCAAAAAGATTTTCAAAAATATCGATTTTATAATTACATGATTTGGAATTCTTATTACTTCTTATTATGAAGTCCGTATTCAGTATTTCATAAAGACTTCAGTTAAATATGGCTTTTACCTTAAATATAAAATTAAAAATAGTAGAAATAGCACTGAAACATTTGTTTGTTTGTTTGATATGAATACAGTTCCTTATATTCCGAAATATTCCGAACGCCCCAAATGAGAAGTTCCCTGGGGAAAGAAGAAGTCATAACCGATTAGAAGCTTTTTGCTTTGCATATGTTGAATGTATGTTATATATTATACATTTTGATTAATATCAAGGTTGGAAACCAAACCTTAAGACTGATATTTGAAAATAATAAATTATTTCTAAGTTATATTAATAATTTGCAATAAATTGCATTTTGATTAATCTATAAACTAATGTTTTCTTTTTAACACTAAATAAGAGAATGAAGATATTGCCTTGTTTGAATAAATCGCATTAAACTCCAATGATTTCTCTAACCAACCTGTCTGCAGTATTTCTTCGGTGTTAGGTCCGTTTTAAGAAGATGTTTCATTCCATAAATTGAAAATTGGATTATAACAGTCTCTACTTTGGTTTACATAAATATTGTAATACTAGAATTATAAATGTAAATCAAAAAGTATCTACTATTATTTTGTGAAGAATGAAAAAAACTCACTATTTAATAGAGTTGTATCGTCAGTTATAATTTTCGATATCGATGTTGTGCTAGTAAATCTTGATATACCAAATAATATTGCTGGTAAAGCAATATCCTTTAAATCGCGACATCACATCTTTTTGAAGAAAAAGAAAGACAGGTGAAGGTAGTGGGTATGTTTCTTAATATTAAAGTTATAATCAAATAAAGTGAACGGTGCATCCTGTGCTCACAGATAACACCAGCAAAATAAAATACAGTAGAATTCAATTAGAATTCATTCAGCTAACTATACAAAGTTCGCCAATATAGCTTTTATACAGCTCGTCAAAATACGACATAATCCAAACAGTATTTACCGGTTCAATGGCTCTTCACAATTAACATTGTACTTCTTGGCTCAGACAGGCGACCTGCTCACAATATAACGACAACATGATTTATCTTCGATTATCCTTTCAGAACGCATACCAGCTCAATAAACTCGGTCTGTACTTTCTACCTATCATTATCACTTTCAACCTGTTAGCCAAGTGATGGACAGGGCATGTAGTGATTTATTATCGAGTATGTTGTGAATTAATCAGAAAATATTGTTATTTTCAACATTAACTAAGAAATTGTGAGAGAGAGAAATTTAGATTTAAATTCGGCAACGGTTACGGGGCTATCTGGTCAAAACAATGTTGTCCAGTCATAAATGTCAGAATTGGGACCTATAAATATATACATATTTCTGTTTATACTTTAATCAGAAATAAAGACAATTTCAATTGGGGTACAAAAGAAAACTATCAAAATAGTAATAAAGTTGAAGTATGGACAACTGGGACTCTCTCTACAATGTGCCATTTGGTCATGACCGAGAAGAGCATGAGCATTCATCATATGACTGACTGTATAACATGACACTAACCGATTATTTTATATATTTATATGAACTATATATATAAAATAAAACAAAGATATCATAGGAATACTTTTTAAGTTTCTATGGTAATACTATATTCTAATAGATTAAATTTTTTTTTCAAATATAGTAAAAGTTTTGAAAATTGATGTTGTGACAAAATCTTGTGCTCTCAAAATGTTGATGTTTCATGCTCTTAACTTGATGGCTACGGTAATTATTGTATATGTTTGTAATATTTATATAGTACTGGTTGATTTCTTTCATTATCCTTTAATTTCGGCGGGTGATTTCTTAAAACTCAAAACAGAAGTAATAGTGCAAGTCAATGCTAATCGTGGTATAGATTGTTCACATAGTTTAGTTTGTCAATATATTGTTAAAATGAACTATGTTCGGAATGATGGTGCTTCAAGGTTGACTATTTTGTAAACAATATTTTGTTAATTTTTCTAAACCAAATTTTTTAAAAATAGTTTACCTTGCAAGTCATTTTTCCTTAAGAATCTTTTATAATCTTTTTTCAAAATGGGATGGTGAAACAAGCTATCAATAATTATTTATTCAACACAATAATAATCTTTTCATTCTTCTTCAGTTTTCGGACTTGTGGTTCAACAAAGATACCTTCTTTAATGTTGGAAGAAGTAATGCTGGGATCTTTCCCAATCAATAAGATTTTCGAAAGCATGGCTTTCGTTTTTTTGCAGGGCCTTAATAAAACTCTGAAATGAAGCTTTAGAAATTATGGCATTTTCATGCTCACTCTTGTTTTTTTGCTTATTTGTTAGAGTCGGTGAAGCAGTCGCATTGCTTCGTGGAACTAATTAAATTTGTGATGCTACTTCCGGATACTTCCTGATAGCACTGAGAATGGTTTATAACCACTTTTCATATTACTAGTGCACAAAAGTTTAAATGTGGTTTTTTTAAAACGTTGTCCGTAAAATTTTGATGAGTTGACAATTTTGATAAAAATTTGATACAATTTTGATCTTTTTCAAGCTTAAAATGGACTTGTTTATTTTTCTTTAATATGGTAAAGTACACGAATAATACGATAAAGAAATAATAGTTCCCATCGAAGAATGAGAAGATATTGCTAGAAAAAATGGACAGTAATTGTCTTAATTTTTTTTTTTGTTGACTTAAGGAAAAGTTTTTTCAATTCTCTAAAACACCAAATACTTTCTAGCGAATCTAAATAATGGGTTTTAATTATATTAATCAAATTTAAATTAAATAAAATAAACTAATTAAAAAATAATATAAGTGAATATATAAAAGAATGCATTTTCTGGCAGAGACCGTATTAATGTGCAGAAATAGTGTTGTAGACACCCTTGTTTTACAGATAGGACATATGTTAGTACTTTAATAAACCTTTCATTTAATTAATTCGTATTAACTAATAAATTTTTTTTATTCATTTAATTCTTTTTCATTCATTTCACTTTTAATGCTATTCAGATGCTTGGTGCTGTAGTACTTGGATTCGGATTCATCGGAACGGTTATATTTGGCAATATTGGCAATGAAACTTTTAGTCTTATGGTAACTATTGGAACTGGTGTACTCTGCTTATCTGTTTTAAGCTGCTTAATGGGATGTTTGTGCAAGGGTTTGATTCTTTGGTTGGTAAGTCGATAATAGTCACAACATTAACATAAAAAAAAATTTTATTTTTTTTTCTTTAAGTATGGTTTATGTATGTTTGCTCTTGGAATCTGCACTTATATGCTCTTGTACTACTACGTTAGACCATTTGAAACAGTAGTTAATGTAGAATACGTAGTTAATGAGTCATGGAACCATACAGTTGTCAAAACCAATCAGAAGCTGTACACCAGTAATCCTCCAATAGACTTCACTTTATTAGAAAAAATGGTAATTTGAATAGAATCGAACAAATTGAGTATGGAATGTAATTTAACTATTTCCTATTCAGCTTCACTGCTGTGGCAAGACCGGACCTGATGACTATGACATAGAGGATCTTGAAATACCTTCATCCTGCTATGTTGCTAACTATCTTGAAACTATGGAGGCTGAGGTTTACATTGAAGGGTGCGTTGAAAAATTTACAAAAGTTGTCCATAAATTTTTTAAGGCAATAATCGTTGTTTGTTGGCCCCTTATGATGATCGAGGTGTGTATAATTATTCTTTTAACTGGTATTTTGAATTTTAATTCTATGAATTTTTCAGTATTTTGCAGCGTTTTATTCCTTCTGTTCAACTGTTTTTTAAAAAGAAATACTTTTTTAATATATGTGTAAAATATGTACACATCATATGTACACATCAAAATTGTTTTGGCTTTATTATAAATATCAAAATTTTAAAATTATTTTGTTTGAAAGTTTTTCAAAAACATTTTTCAGAACAATTTTTTTCTTTTTGTTGTTAATAAAACACACGTTTAACGAAATTCAATCATGTTTTTACAATTTAATAGAAACAGACAGAGAGAGAGAGAGAGAGAGGGAGAAAGGGGGAGAGAGAGGGAGAGAGAGGGAGAGAGAGAGAGCGCGCTAGAGAGAGAGAGCGCTAGAGAGAGAGCACTAGAGAGAGAGCGTTAGAGATAGCAAGGTGGAAGGAGAGAGGTAGATAGATAAAGGCAAAGAGAGAGAGAGAGAGAGTAAAAAAAAGGAGAGCGCGGCAGCCATAGAGTATGAAAGTTAGTGCAATTAAAGTTGTTTATACTGGATTCACACAAAAGCTTGTAATTTTAACTGTCAATTGTTGTTGCTTCCAATGCAAAATGAAATTTTTTGACAGCTAAAATTACAAATTAGAAATTACTGACGTGAGAATCTAGTGTCACAAAATTAGATGCCTTTCTTTAAAATTGGAAAGAGTTAGAATTAGATTATTACCGACTTATTAAACAGACTGTGTTGTTTCATGGAATCTTTTTTCCAAAACGTATTGTAATTTTAGTAATTTGCTCCTAAAAGGTGCAAATTTTGACATTTATTACTAAACAACACTGTTTAGCCTAAGTGCCAAATCATAGATATCCTCGACTCTCTTGACGAAATTTGAAAGAATATATTTTTTTCTCTCACTCTTAATTTAATAATTCGGAGTTTACCAGATTCAATTATATTTTCATTACAGATCCACAAATCTCAAAACTTTTGCAGACTTTTAATTAAATTCTAATCGTATCTTCTTTTTTTTAAACTTTTTTTCAAACGTGATTTCTATGATTGTACCTTTTAAAATATAATATCATGTTTTCACAATGAATTTGTAGTTCACAATGGATTTGTTCTAAAATATTAGATGACAAACAGTTTGTTTTCTGAAATTTCGACAAATATGACCCGTATTTTGAAAAATATGTAGTTGATTTTGGTAGTCCAATAATGCACCATTGCACAAACTCTGATAGCTTGAGTTCTTGATCAAAAACGTCATCAATTTTATGAAATACTCACCGTATTCAACTGTTTTGGTAATATATGTTTGCCATTCTTATACTTAAATTGATAGAAAAAGAAAATCGTTATGAGACTATCAAGGTTATCTCAAAAGTATCTACCATTATATTAGGTCTGTTCCGAAGTAACTTTGAGTAACGCTGTGTATACACAAGTGCGTTCCACCAGCAAATTTTCGTCTATTTTCGTGTAAATTTTACTTGAGTTTTACTACGAGTAGCTCGTGAAACAAACCTATTAATGGTTGTTCGGACCCATGACAGCAAAATATTTTTGAAGAAATTCATTGAACCCTTTTAGCGTAATGTTGAATTGGCAAAAGACTCTTTGTGGGTAGAATATGAACTACCCTAACATACATATGTGTCTCTTTTTGTATCTGTAATGTTGAATATATACGAAAAGTATAAGGTTTGTAAAAAGTGTGCGGAAATGAAAATGTAAAATAATAAATAAGAGTAAATTTTGATCTATACAAAATGAGTTTATTTTATGGTTTTTATTATGTTTCACAAATGTTGAACAAATGTTTCCATTCATCGGCAATAACCGCCATAAATATTTCCTTATCTACTATCTAAAGCTTGAAGGTTTAAAGCATGTGATTTTTACATAAATACTATATGTGGAAAAAGAATATAATCCAAGTGTTTTACATATTTTGCAATAGTCTTATGACTTACCTGAAATCATTCAAGAACTGCAAATAAAAAATTGGAGTTCTGAAAACATTTAAACGAAAAAACGTATCCAAATAGACAGACAAGCCGAGCACATGTACACGTTCTACTTACAGACGCACGCAGTAAGCCAATGGAAGGCATGGAGCATGGAACTCAGGCAATGTCAATGCGCAATCTTAGAAAAGTTTATCCTTTGCCGTTAGCGTGAATACAATTTCGGAATGGCATGGCAATATTGTTGCCAAAATAAAAATTGTCGCATAGTGTCGTAAAATCAGAATCGATTTAAGGCGATAATGTTGCAAGTACGCTTCCACACCATAAGAAAACTAAGTTCTTTCAAATGCGTTGTGGCATGTTGTAATCTCATTTTTTTTCAATAATTTTTTTAGTCCTGTTTGTTTTTTTTTTTGTTTTTGTGTATAACTTTGCTTTTAAACATTTTCATGTTTTATAAATTCCTTAAATTTGGTTGATATTGCGGATACTATACAAAGTACGAGTGGTAACGTCAATATCTTTTAAGGAAAAGTAAAAATTATTTTATAAAAATATTTTATATCGACTATTATTGGACGCTACACATAGGTTTTCAGTAAATTTTATATTAGTATTATTATTTTATATTAATATTATTAATAAAATATATTAATATTACTGATTTTTGTTTATTTTTTAACTGACTACAGGTCACTTTTTAATATTTTTTAATTAATGCTATATTTCGACTCTCTTTGAGACTCATTATCGGGATCATGTTCCAATAAAAAAAAAATTTATATTACAATCCATTAAACCAATCGTCATGTTGTTTATTCTATTGTCTATATTGCCCTAATGCAAAGAGAGAGTCGAAATATAGAATTAATTAAAAAACATCATAGGGTTCTTAATTTTTATTGAATAAATGTGACCTATAGCCAGTTAAAAAATAAGCAAGAAATCATTATAATTGAAATATCCGTCGATTTAATATTAATATAATTATTTATATATAGTATATAGCGACTTAATAATGTAATTTTGTTTTTAATGTCGCAAAAGATACAAATTTCGACTCTGTATATTCTGTATTGATTAGTTGAGAGAAGGAATGATTTTCTATATATACTTGACGTGCAGTCTTTTCATTTTTTTTTATTTTTTTTTAAAACATGCAACAAATAATATCCCAACATACAGAATAAGATTAAAATTTAACAATTAAAAATAAAAATAATTACTTCAGTTGTTCTAAAACTAGCTTATGTTTTCATTCTAATATAAACACAGCAAATGAATTTATTAATAAAACTTTCACAGCAAATTAACAAAACTCCCGAAAAATGTGCGAACATTAATATCAAGTACGGCTTTGAGTCAATTGTTAAAAGGCGCTGGCTCTGAGCTTCAACTTTGGCAGAGCATGAGTTCGAAACAGCTGTATGGTCAACCAAAAATTAAATTAATTAAAATAATATAAAATGAATTCTTATTGTTATTTCTTATTGTTATAGTTCACTACTGTTCGAAATACCTATTTATAAATTATTTCATAAAATAAATTAATCTCTAATAAGATTTCGTGAGTAGGTTTATTGTTTTAAACAAGATTTTATTTAAAATGAAAACTTGAAGTCAAATAAAGTTTGGAATCGGAAAAAAATTCTGATCCAGAATGCTTACCTTTTATATTAAATTGATTGTGCCTTAAGTTTATTTTATTTTAAATACAAACTTAAATTTATATATGTATCAAATAAAAACTGGAAAAATATCTGATCAAGTTATCTGCACACTTACCTTTAATATTAAATCAAATTGAATTTGATATATCATACAATATATTCCATAATGATTCTTGCTGGTTTTAAACAAAAGTAAGAGGGTTCGATAACACGTATGTAGGTATATATAAATGTATGTATACCAGTTTCTACCGACTAAAACCATTTCTCAATCACTGTTGCTATCCTTATATTGACTTGCAATTTCAGCAATTTATGTATTCCTTTGACTGGCAGACAAGAATTTATTCATATCTCACAGTTCGATATTTAATATAGACGTTAACTCACAGACATTCGGTGAGGTACTTAATTGTGGTCACTATATTGCAGATGCCGTTCAAATTCATTTGGCAGTTCATTACTATGTGAGCCTTGAGTTGGGCACTTAAGATAAGCATATTTTCCATTTTTGTATGAATATGTAAGATTAATGTATGAATAAATATAGCAAAATTGAAATATGGTAAGTATATTATGAGATTCTAAACTAAATATAATTTGAATTAGGTTTTCTTACTTAACATATATAAGTTTTTTATTTCTATCAGAAGACATCTTCCTTTTCTGAATAAACTGCTTCAATTGTACATCACAAATAAATATACATTTATATTTAAAAGTGATGTCAAAAATAGTTAAACTATATATATGTAATTCATCAGAAATATATAGTTGGGTAATACTACTGGAAACAGTCCACTATTAAAAATAATATATTACTTGAAGAGTTTCTTATTTTTCTGCAATGACACTACCTTGTTTGTAAAAGTTGAAATATATTCTATTATTCTATTAAGACTCGTATTTATACACTGTCTGCCTAACGATTGGTCCTACTACGTTTCTAAAAGTCTATTTAACTTGGATACTGAAAGCGGTCACATAATAAATATTTGATAATTTCATTCTCTTTGAATTTTCATAATTTTGACCTACTACGTCAGCATTACATACTATGATATTATTTTATGGTAGTGAAATCTATTTAAACATTTGTCAGTCTTTCTGGTACAATTTAACACTTAAGTATCTGCAAATATTTTTGAAAATAAGCTAATAGCACTAAAACAGCACTAACAGTACGGCAAAAATCTTCACATATTGCAAAGAAAAGAGTTGAAGAAAACAACACCAAAAATAAACTAAAGTGCTACCTGACAGCACTAAAACCCATGAATGAAACTAGAAATTTATATCGACAAATGGTTAATATTATGCGAATAGATAAAAGTAATTTGTCTGGAAATGCATTTAAAGAGTGGTGAAAAATACAGTAGAGCACTCCTGCATTGTTGGTGAAGGAAATCGATAACAAATGATATAAATACAGTTAGTCCTACTAATCGGCGATAGGAAGTCTCTAAGCTAGTGGATGAGGCTGA